CACTTGACATTGCTGTTACAGCACCTCAGCGGTCGGAAAGCTTGGGCGAGGCCAGCTACAAAAGTGGCGCCGCGGCCGATGCCTATACAGAGGTCAAAGCTGGTCACCTTCAAACTGGCCAAGAGTGTGAACGTCAAGGAGTGCGCTTCCAGCCCTTGGTCGTGGAAAGCACGGGCGCCTGGTCTGCCACGGCGTCTCACAATCTCCGGCTTCTGGCTCGAGCAGCCGCGGCCCGGGAAGGCGAAGACGCTGCAGCATGCCACGCCCAACTCCTTCAAGAGCTTTGCGTCACCGTGCGGCGATACCGAGCACGGGCAGTCCTTCGTCGCAGAGCTGAACTGGCCAGTCCTGCTGATGGTGATGTTGCCCGCCCTGCTGCTGCTCTACTCTTATCTGTGGATCCTGCCCACTAGTTCCTTCGCCTTTGTCGTGGCTTTTAGCATAGCTATACCAAGCGCCTCCATCCATCGTCCGCCAGCGCCGACCTCCCAGCTGACGCAGTGGTTTGGCTACATCGGTCATGGCACCAGTAGTGAGAAGGGCGTAGCAGAAGTTTTCACCGTTTTTCTATTCGTGCGCCCACAATCACAAGGCCACGTTTGCTATCATGTTTTCCAGTGACGGGTTGGTTTTTCCAATTCTCCTCAGGAGACTTTGGCTCCCGCTATTGTCCTCCACGCAGCAGGTTTTTTTTCCTAGCCTTAGGCTGTTTTTCCTGCTGCCATCTCCTCACCCACTGAGTGGAGTAGGGGGAAACTACATACTGGATGTCTCATAGTGACATAGTGGTTTTCCCATTTTGATTACCACTTCGGTAAGAGTAGATTAGTCTGAACACATGTCAATTATTGAGGAAGTCTCGCAGACTTGCTGCCTCGGAGAGATGAGACAGCTCAATAGATGATGTTGCCATCACAATATGAACGTCTTTTTAGATGCGGAATAGGGATTGACTCGATATGGACAGTTTTTGCCATGGACTTGCATATATCCCAGGGAGTGACAAAAATAAATTAACCCAGCATACAACCCCAATAGCAAAGTTTCACATCTCCGTTGACGCCAATTTGGTATTGCCCGGGGAACCATTTACTCCAAAAAAATACCATTTCTTCAATACCACCAAAACACCACTGGAACACCGCCAAAACACCACAGAAACACCACGAAAACATGAGCAAGACTCAAAACATCACTGAACACCATCAAGACTGACGGACACACCGCCAAAGTGCCACCAAGATGCCAACGACCACCGAAACACACCTGAGAGACCACCAAGACACCAGCAGAAGGACAAACACCATCAACCATCAGGACTGACACCATCAGGACAGACACAACCAATTCCCGAAAGGGCCCGCGAAGGGCTTTTGTTTTCCCAAAAAGTTGCTGCCAGCATACTTTGTCACAATATCATTTTTCCCATCACCATCATCACAACACCGTCAGTACAGACATCCGCCATCATCAAAACACCGTCGTCATCATCGTCATCATCATCAGGTTTTTCTTCATCTTCATCATCACCATCATTTTTCAATGTCATCATCAGCATCTTCTTCTTTTTCATGAACCATTCCCGTATCATCATCAGCATCAATAGTAGTAATCATCATCATCGCCAAGTTTCCAAAAGTGAGGCTTTGCGAGAGCCAAACACCGAGGCCCCTGGTGCTCGCTTTTCCTTCAATGCGCCCCCTGCTGATGGCCGGGGTCAGGGGTCTGTGAATACGGATATTTTCGCGAAAGTGCCGCGAAAGTTTTGCGAAGGAGCGGGCGAAAGTCAAAGTGCATGTTGAAGGGAGTGCTGTAGTCAGCAGCAATCTGTCCTGAGAAGAGATTCCGCGATGCTAGCTGCATGTTTAATGGGCTATCAAGAAGTGATCCGTGATTCTCTGGCGTAATTTGGCAGGCGGTGAACGAATCTTCATACGAGGCGTTGTTGCCCAACATGGGCCCCGCGACAGATAAACGTGGAGTTCGCGAAAGTTTCGCGAAAGTAACATTTTTATTCGCGAAGAACGGCCGTTTACATATTATGTATACAGGTAATACAACAACGCCTCCAAGATCCTCCAAGTAATGGGCCATCAAGCTTGGTGAGAAAAAAAAACTTATCATCCCGAGCTGGAAAAATACGTGCTATAATCTTTTGGTGTTGCTGTTGTCTAGCATTGGTTCAGAGTGGATAGTTTCCCTTGTAGTATGGTATTGCAACGCATTCTGTTGCTAAGTACTCGTAAGAATCTAAAAATTGACGCCAAAGTCTCAAAAAATTAGTAGCGCCATTGCCTATATCAAAAGAACACATCACAGTATATACATTAAACACGAAAATGGTGCCAAAAACACTGAAAAAACATGGGCCCAGATAGCGGCATGTGTGCAATCTTGGATGTCATGGTGCATCTACAAAGGTCATGCAGCTTGTGACAGGGCAGCCCTTGCGGAAGATTATTCAGACCCGTGCTGCTTAGCTTGTTGACCTTTGAGTTTGAACATTATTATATTTTTTTGCAGCGCGTTCTGGTGGCTGACATGTTCTCAAAATTCGATTTTTCTTACCCCTGCCAGCTCTGACCACTGAGGTCCTAGAACCTGTGGGAATGCGCGATTCCTGCTTTCTTGTGCCGCAGTCGAAACTGCATCAGCTTTCAACGTACTACCGTCTCATGCGCGATCCGGAGCCTTGCCATGAAAACCAGAAAGTCAAAATTCGCAAAGCGAGCACATTTCGGGCAGTATGCATGCTGACAGTCACAATTAGAACAGCGACTAGTTCTGTTGCCTTTTTCGCGTGTTGTTGCCCAGTCTTTGAGGTCAAAGGAAACCGCTGGCTTGAGCGACTGGATGGATTGAAAGCAAAGGATAGCATGTCGCTTAGCACGGCGGTCCTTGAAAGTCCTCGTTTTTTAAAGTTTTGACCCATGGATTCAAACGTGTGCTTCATGAATGTGACAATGCGGTTTAGACCTGTTTTCCACGTGCCATCCCACGATATGCCTTGATCATGTTTGCGGTTGTTTGTAGTTGAGCAGATGCAAGATGGATGCCCCCAAGATCCTCCAAGCCAAAATGACGTGCGCCAATGATGGCGGATTAGATACTAGAATATACAAATACATAAGTGTATTTTCCACTTGTATATAAAATGAAATATCCTAAAGCCACAAAGGACTGAACAGGGCGCAAGCCAATTCAATATGCTTTGATCATTGCTACTGTATGTTTTGAGAGTTCGGCTCGACTTTCGCAGAGTGTGTTCCTACTGCTCCTGTTCACCCTTTGCTCAAATGCTACATTTTAGATTCCCCGAAAAATGCGCTACAGTGTTAGGGAGTGGACCCCCGTAAAAAAAAGCCAGTGGAATCCTCGACGCCTGATTTTTACATAAGTAGAGAAACAAGATTAGAGAAGACTCAGGGTTTAAAGATCAGAAATTGGAATGATTCCAGACATCCCGCTGCTGGATGCATGTGAGTGGCACCCCTGGAACAAGGAAACTGCTGACCCCTTGATGTAAGTAGCAGGTATTGGAGTTAGAGGAGACAAGATTTGAAACGCCTCAAAGATGATTTTTTTCATCGCCCAAGGTACGCCAAAGGCTCACAAGCAGTTTATCGTTCTGGTGGACTTCCGGCAGGAGTTCCTGCTGCTGGAGGCTTGTGGGGCGCGGGGCGCTCCACAATGCTCTTCTCGCTACGGGACATTCTCTTGTATTGTCAGATGCTTCTGAATGGCCCCTTGGATTATCTTGGACTCCACTTGGCTCGCTAAAGTTTGTCAAATTTATGTCATACAAGTTGCGGTTTGTGCTGCCATGTGTGTTGTCGTAACGTTGCATCCCATGCCTAGGGTAGTGGCTTTTCATGGGGGGCTTTGTTTTTCAAGTATGTGACTTCAACTCCAATTTGGTGGATGCTTCAATAGCCAATAGCCAGCTGCAAGCTGCAGCTTTAGCACTTATGGTAGGGCAGCTCGCAGTTTATGATTCGCGTTGGTGTCTAAGGTGGACAGTCTCTTGCCGGACATCGTGTTCTCAAAGCATCAACTGCGAGCTCCTTGCAAATGGATTGGCTGCGCTTGAAGGAAGCTTGCAGGACCAGAAATCCTCCTGGTTGGGGCAGTCCCGATGCTCCTTAGATTCAGCAGTTTTTAGATTCAACATGATTTGACAGGATTTCTTTTGTGTTAAACGATTGAAGCTCGACTGATCGACCTTCGGCAATTCGGAAAGGCTTGACCTTGAAAAGTTGAGGTTGGTTGGTCGCCTCTGGGCAATGTTGAAAGATATGGTCCACACGCTGGTGCGCTGTATATGGGAGGCAAACACTGCACTGGACACGTAAGAACAGACACGAACAAGGAGAATCTTGAACGAGGGATTCTGCTTTGTTGTCTTGTGCCGTAGATTGCCTTCTAAAGAAATGACTTGAACTGGAAAGAGTCGTGGTGTTTCGGTTTTGCGTGCTTTCCAGCACTGCAAAGCTTTGAGAACTTGATTGCATCCCTTTCAGCTTCTGTGAATTCTTCAGCATCACGGAGGCATGAGCTATTTCTGGTTGGATCCGCGCCGGAAAGTTGCTGCTGCTATTATGACAGAGAGCTACTGGCAAGTGAATCCACTTGGATGGAAGGCCGACCTGGACGATTTGGAACAGGCTGGCTTGTTTTGATCCTGTTGTTTGTATATGATCAGGCGAACTTTGGTCGCAATTGCTTGGCCCTGATAGGTAATACAATCCGCAATGAAAGGCACGAGCAGCAAGAGACAAGCAGAGAGCCAAGATGGCTCTCTTGCAAAACGCCTCAAATGCTGATGGCCAAAGCTCCACCTGAGCATACCTGAGCGTTTTCAAGTTGCAAGTCGGGAAAAGCAAGAAACCCATGTGGAAGCCATGGGAAGTGAGGAGGGAACACGTTTTGATGTTGATTCTTTTCCAAGCTCATGCACGCGCACGCTCAAATAATCGCACGATATCGGACATATTGTCCTGTTTTCGAAAAGCGACAGCTTTGGGGAGTAGCTTTAAAAACAAACTTTGGGAAGCAGCTTTCAGAAACAAATTTCGGGGTTAGCAGCTTGGAGGATCAGCTGTTCGGAGCAGCTTTCGATAACAACTTTGGGGAATGCCTTTCGGGAACAGCTTTGGGGGGCAGGAGCAATTTTGCACGGCAGCTTTGAACAGCAGTTTTGAATGGGGAGCAGCAGCTTTGGGGTGTAATTTTAGAACGTAACTTTGAGGAGAAGCTTTTGGCAGCAACTTTGGGGAGTAGCTTTCGGGAACCGCTTTGGAGAATAGCATTGGGGCCACTTTCAAAAACAGGTTTGAAGCACAACCGCTTTGGGGCAATCGCTTTGCAGAGGTGTTTTGGGAACAACTTTGGGAAGCAGTTTTGGGGAATCGCTTTGGGGAGCAATTTTGGCAAGCTTTCCGAAACAACTTTGAGGAACAATTGCTTTGAAGAATAGCAGCTTTCTGGCATATTTATGAGTAACTTCGGGGAGTAAACTTTGAGAGAAGGTTTCGGGAACAGCTTTGGGGAGCAGCTTTGCGAACAGCTTTCCGGAGCAACTGTTGGGCGCAGCTATGCGGGGAGCAGCTTTCGTTGCTGGCTTGCGTCAGAGTTAGATATTTTATTTTATGACGGGTTGTGCTTTTATGTTGTAATTTGGATTTGATATTTATTATTTTTTCCCTATCGATTGCGACTTTTAATAACGCCCAACCTGACCTCCTATATTTTTTTCATTTGAAAGTTTAATTTTGCATATGATTTTCGTTGTTTAGTAATTTTATGGTTTATGATGCATGGTAGTTTCGGGATTCTCGATTTGTGACTTAATCTTACGAAAGCCAGCCGGGAAGCTGGCTAGTTGCTATTTGCGAACGAAGTGAGAATAGGGGGTCTGGGGGGGGGTAGTTGCCAAACGGGTCAAAAATCGGGAAAATAGGTGGTAAATTTTGTCAGACGCTAGTATGGTGTTGCAGGGTAGTGTACCAGGCTACCAGGCGGCAAAACAGTGACGGTGGGTATCGATTCCCCCTAGGTCCGGTTTTCTGGGGTTTTCTGGGCTCAGTCAATGGACAGATAGATGGGCCAGCTAGTTAGAGGAGATTGGAGAGAGAAGGACATTGGGTGAAAAGTATGCGCAAGAAGGGTTTCTGGGTGAAGCGCCTCTGGGTGAAAAGTATATGGGTGAAAAGTCTGTGCAAGAAGAGTTCCTGGGTGAAGGGTCTCTGGATGAAAAGTCTGTGCAAGCAGAGTTTCTTGGTGAAGAGTCTCTGGGTGAAACGTATATGGGTGAAAAGTATGTGCAAGAAGAGTTTCTGGGTGAAGAGTCTCTGGATGAAAAGTATATGGGTGAAAAGTATGTACAAGAAGAGTTTCTGGGTGAAGAGTCTATGGGTGAAAAGTATATGGGTGAAAAGTATGTGCAAGAAGAGTTTCTTTGTGAAGAGGCTATGTGTGAAAAGAATATGTGTGAAAAGTATGTGCAAGAAGATATTCTGGGTGAAGAGTCTCTGGGTGAAAAGTATATGGGTGAAAAGTATGTGCAAGAAGAGTCTCATATGAATGAAAAGTATGTGCAAGAAGGGTTTCTGGGTGAAGAGTCTCTGGGTGAAAAGTATATGGGTGAAAAGTATGTACAAGAAGAGTTTTCTGGGCGAAGAGTCTCTGGATGAAAAGGGTGAAAAGTATGTGCAAGATGAGTTCCTGGGTGAAGAGTCTCTGGGTGAAAAGTATATGGGTGAAAAGTCTGTGCAAGAAGAGTTCCTGGGTGAAGGGTCTCTGGATGAAAAGTCTGTGCAAGCAGAGTTTCTTGGTGAAGAGTCTCTGGGTGAAACGTATTTGGGTGAAAAGTATGTGCAAGAAGAGTTTCTGGGTGAAGAGTCTCTGGATGAAAAGTATATGGGTGAAAAGTATGTACAAGAAGAGTTTCTGGGTGAAGAGTCTATGGGTGAAAAGTATTTTGGTGAAAAGTATGTGCAAGAAGAGTTTCTGGGTGAAGAGTCTCTGGGCGAAAAATCTGTGCAAAAAGAGTTTCTGGGTGAAGAGTCTCTGGGTGAAAAGTATATGGGTGAAAAGTATATGCAAGAAGAGTTTCTGGGTGAAGAGTCTCCGGGTGAAAAGTATATGGGTGAAAAGTATGTGAAAGAAGAGTTTCTGGGTGAAAAGTATGTGCAAGAAGAGTTTCTGGGTGAAGAGTCTCTGGGTGAAAAGTATGAGGTGAAAAGTATGTGCAAGAAGATATTCTGGGTAAAGAGTCTCTGGGTGAAAAGTATATGGGTGAAAAGTCTGTGCAAGAAGAGTTCCTGGGTGAAGGGTCTCTGGATGAAAAGTCTGTGCAAGCAGAGTTTCTTGGTGAAGAGTCTTTGGGTGAAGAGTCTCTGGGTGAAAAGTATATGGGTGAAAAGTATGTGCAAGAAGAGTTTCTTTGTGAAGAGTCTATGTGTGAAAAGAATATGTGTGAAAAGTATGTGCAAGAAGAGTTTCTGGGTAAAGAGTCTCTGGTTGAAAAGTATGTGCAAGAAGAGTTTCTGGGTGAAGAGTCTCTGGGTGAAAACTATGTACAAGAAGAGTTTCTGGATGAAGAGTCTCAGGATGAAAAGTATATGGGTGAAAAGTTTGTGCAAGAGGAGTTTCTGGGTGAAGAGTCCGTGGGTGAAAAGTATATGGATGAAAAGTATGTGCAAGAAGAGTTTCTGGGTGAAGAGCCTCGGGGTGAAAAATATATGGGTGAAAAGTATATGCAAGAAGAGTTTCTGGGTGAAGAGTCTCTGGGTGAAAAGTATATTGGTGAAAAGTATGTGCAAGAAGATATTCTGGGTGAAGAGTCTCTGGGTGAAAAGTATATGGGTGAAAAGTATGTGCAAGAAGAGTCTCATATGAATGAAAAGTATGTGCAAGAAGGGTTTCTGGGTGAAGAGTCTCTGGGTGAAAAGTATATGGGTGAAAAGTATGTACAAGAAGAGTTTTCTGGGTGAAGAGTCTCTGGATGAAAAGGGTGAAAAGTATGTGCAAGATGAGTTCCTGGGTGAAGAGTCTCTGGGTGAAAAGTATGTGCAAGAAGAGTTTCTGGGTAAAGAGTCTCTGGGTGAAAAGCATATGGCTGAACAGTATGTGCAAGAAGAGTCTCTGGGTGAAAAGTATATGGTTGAAATGTCTGTGCAAGAAGAGTTTCTGGGTGAAGAGTCTCTGGGTGAAGGGTATATGGGTGAAATGTCTGTGCAAGAAGAGTTTCTGGGTGAAGAGTCTCTGGGTGAAAAGTATATGGGTGAAAAGTATGTGCAAGAAGAGTTTCTGGGTGAAGAGTCTCTGGGTGAAAAGTATATGAGTGAAAAGTAAGTGCACGAAGAGTTTCTGGGTGAAGAGTCTCTGGGTGAAAAGTGTATGGGTGAAAAGTATGTGCAAGAAGAGTTTCTGGGTGAAGAGTCTCTGGGTGAAAAGTATATGGGTGAAAAGTATGTGCAAGAAGAGTTTCTGGGTGAAGAGTCTTTGGGTGAAAAGTATATATATAGGTGAAAAGTATGTGCAAGAAGAGTTTCTGGGTGAAGAGTCTCTGGGTGAAAAGTATATGGGTGAAAAGTATGTGCAAGAAGAGTTTCTGGGTGGAGAGTCTCCGCGTTAAAAGTATATGGGTGAAAAGTATGTGCAAGAAGAGTTTCTGGGTGAAGAGTCTCTGGGTGAAACGTATATCGGTGAAAAGTATGTGCAAGAATTGTTTCTGGGTGAAGAGTCTCTGGATGAAAAGTATATGGGTGAAAAGTATGTGCAAGAAGAGTTTCTGGGTGAAAAGTCTGTGCAAGAAGACTTTCTGGGTGAAGAGGCTCTGGGTAAAAAGTATATGGGTGAAAAATTTGTGCAAGAAGAGTTTCTGGGTGAAGAGTCTCCGGGTGAAAAGTATATGGGAGAAAAGTATGTGCAAGAAGAGTTTCATGGTGAAGAGTCTTTGCGTTAAAAGTATATGGGTGAAAAGTATGTGCAAGAAGAGTTTCTGGGTGAAGGGTCTCTGGGTGAAAAGTATATGGGTGAAAAGTATGTGCAAGAAGAGTTTCTGGGTGAAGAGTCTCTGGATGAAAAGTATATGGGTGAAAAGTATGTGCAAGAAGAGTTTCTGGGTGAAGAGTCTATGGGTGAAAAGTACATGGGTGAAAAGTATGTGCAAGAAGAGTTTCTGGGTGAAGAGTCTCTGGGTGAAAAGTATTTTGGTGAAAAGTATGTGCAAGAAGAGTTTCTGGGTGAAGAGTCTCTGGGTTAAAAGTATATGGGTGAAGAATATGTGCAAGAAGACTTTCTGGGTGAAGAGGCTCTGGGTCAAAAGTATATAGGTGAAGAGTATGTGCAAGAAGGGTTTCTGGGTGAAGAGTCTCTCGGTTAAAAGCATATGGGTGAAAAGTATGTGCAAGAAGAGTTTCTGGGTGAAAAGTATATGGGTGAAAAGTATGTGCACGAAGAGTTTCTGGGTGAAGAGTCTATGGGTGAAAAGTATATGGGTGAAAAGTATGTGCAAGAAGAGTTTCTGGGTGAAGAGTCTCTGGGTGAAAAGTATATGGGTGAAAAATATGTGCAAGAAGAGTTTCTGGGTGAAGAGTCTCCGGGTGAAAAGTATATGGGTGAAAAGTATGTGAAAGAAGAGTTTCTGGGTGAAGAGTCTCTGGGTTAAAAGTATATGGGTGAAAAGTATGTGCAAGAAGAGTTTCTGGGTGAAGGGTCTCTGGGTGAAAAGTATATGGGTGAAAAGTATGTGCAAGAAGAGTTTCTGGGTAAAGAGTCTCTGGGTGAAAAGTATATGGGAGAAAAGTATGTGCAAGAAGAGTTTCAGGGTGAAGGGTCTTTGCGTTGAAAGTATATGGGTGAAAAGTATGTGCAAGAAGAGTTTCTGGGTGAAGGGTCTCTGGGTGAAAAGTATATGGGTGAAAAGTATGTGCAAGAAGAGTTTCTGGGTGAAAAGTATATGGGTGAGAAGTATGTGCAAGAATGGTTTCTGGGTGAAGAGTCTGTGGGTGAAAAGTAAATGGGTGAAAAGTATGTGTAATAAGGGTTTTTGGCTGCAGAGTCTCTGGGTGAAAAGTATATGGGTGAAAAGTGAAAAGTATGTGCAAGAAGGGTTTCTGGGTGAAGAGTCTCTCGGTTAAAAGTATATGGGTGAAAAGTATGTGCAAGAAGAGTTTCTGGGTGAAAAGTATATGGGTGAAAAGTATGTGCCTGAAGAGTTTCTGGGTGAAGAGTCTATGGGTGAAAAGTATATGGGTGAAAAGTATGTGCAAGAAGAGTTTCTGGGTGAAGAGTCTCTGGGTGAAAAGTATATGGGTGAAAAGTATGTGCAAGAAGAGTTTCTGGGTGAAGGGTCTCTGGGTGAAAAGTATATGGGCGAAAAGTATGTGCAAGAAGAGTTTCTGGGTGAAGAGTATGTGCAAGAAGGGTTTCTGGGTGAAGAGCCTGTGGGTGAAAGGTATATTGGTGAAAAGTATGTGCAAGAAGGGTTTCTGGGTGAAGAGTCTCTGGGTGAAAAGTATATGGGTGACAAATACGTGCAAGAAGAGTCTTTGGGTGAAGAGTCTCTGGGTGAAAAGTATATGGGTGAAAACTATGTGCAAGAAGAGTTTCTGGGTCAAGAGCCTCTGGGTGAAAAGTATATGGGTGAAAAGTCTGTGCAAGAAGAGTTTCTGGGTGAAGAGTCTCTGGGTGAAAAGTATATGGGTGAAAAGTATGTGTAATAAGAGTTTCTGGGTGAAGAGTCTCTGGGTGAAAAGTGTATGGGTGAAAAGTATGTGCCAGAAGGGTTTCTGGGTGAAGAGTCTCTGGGTCAAAAGTATATGGGAGAAAAGTATGTGCCAGAAGATTTTCTGGGTGAAAAGTATATGGGTGAAAAGTATGTGCAAGAAGAGTTTCTGGGTGAAAAGTATATGGGTGAAAAGTATATGGGCGAAAAGTATATGCAAGAAGAGTTTCTGGGTGCAGAGTCTCTGAGTGAAAAGTATATGGGTGAAAAGTATGTGCAAGAAAGGTTTCTGGGTGAGGAGTCTCTGGGTGAAGAATATTGGGGAACATAGGGATAGATGGGATGCTGGCTTTCGTTCCCCCCTTGTTAAGTATGCATACGGAATTTGACGCCTTATTTATCATTATTTATTATTATTATTATTTTAATATTATTAAGATAAATTTGGTTGAAAAATTAATATTTTTTAATTAAGAAATATTTAAATATTCTAATATGGATGATGAGAATAAAAATAATATGTTTTGATTTATTTAATAATATAATATTTTATTAAAAAATAATAATTTTAAAGAATGAAAAAATAAAATTATTTTGATAATGATATTTTATAAAAAGAAATAATAATTTTAAATATTATAAGAATTATTAAAAAAAAAATATTAAATTATAAAAATATGTTTTAAAAAAATAAGATTATTAATATTTAAAATTGAATATGTTTTTATATTATATTTTATTAAGATACGATAATTAACATTCGCATTGATATTGATGTATAAGCCTTTTGTATCGCTTTAATTTTTTTGGAAGGCAATTTTTGGCTTCTAAAATTTGAAGGTTTGCTAAGATAGGGCTACCTCTAAAAATATCTGATTATCTAAGTTATCGAATTATTGTTATATTTTAAGAAAGCTATGAGATTTTTTGGGATTCTGTATGTTAGGAAACCCCTATGTTCTACCTAGCTGTAGCCCCCGGGCTGGTGCAGGGCCCAGCTGCTGCTTCTGCTTCCGCTTTGCGGATTGCGAAGCGGCTGGCGCCAGCAGTCGGCGGTAGCCAGCCGCCGGGACGGTGCCGGCCGGCGAGAACCAGCGCGAA